TATACTATAATATAAAATAATTAAAGAGAGAAGCTTTTTATTTGAACCTAAACACAAATAATGTAATTTAGAAGGCAAGAATCAGCTTTTTTTTCCCTCAATGACATTTTATTAAAAAGATGAGTGACATATACAGTTAGAAAATAATTTACATGGCATGCCTTACTATCCATCCACTGTAAACATTCAGTCAACATATCAGACTCGTATTTTTTCAAGTGTATTTCCTTTTTTATTTTTATTTTTGTTTGTTTTTTGTTTTCTCCTTTAGGTCTACACCTACAAATACAACACACAAATCTCTTTTAAAGAAAAGCTAAACCCTACAGTATCTACAACAGGTCATCATCTTAAAAGGAATCCTTAATGGGGTCATGTTGAACATGACCTGAGTGGTTTACACTAATGAACCCATGTGAACAATGTGTGTGAAGTGATGACCGAACATCTGAAGCAACACTGATGGGATTGGTGGAGCGCACAGCTGAAAAGAGACACACCTTTACTGGACACTTGCACTCTAAAAAACTAGTCTACCAACAACAATAAACTGGGCAACTTACTCATTTGCGTCTTATCAAAGCTAACTTCACATAAAACTTCCTCCTCCTCCCCACATTGCCATCTTGCAACTTGGGCTACACATCTTGCAAACTCATCAACACAAGAAAATGTTCCGAAATTKCACAATTTATAGTATGAGAGGATACTTTATTTCTGTTCGGAAATAATACGAACAGACCAGCATCTCAGATACAGAATTAAAAAAAAAAAATCTCAATATCAAAATGTGGTTAAAGGCAACCGAATATTTCTTCCCCCGTTCAAAATATTGCACGACTAACACAAAAGGGTCTATATCATAACATGCTCATGGTTTTTTTAGGATTTGAAATCTCTTCTTTTTCCTATAACCCATTACCAACATACATGCACTTTGCTAAGATCATACTAATGTATGAATCTCACCAATTCAAAAACCAAAATTATAGTTGGTTCCAAATAATTTCTGTTCTCTGTAATGAAGTCACACTTCCATCTAGGTCTGTTTGTTTCCACTTTAAGTTTAGAAAACTTGTACTTTTGGCACAAACATTTGAGGTGGACCTACCCAGCTCTGTTGCCCTTAGATATTTCCATTCATCGGAGATAAAACTGTAAATTATAATGTTCATTTTAACGTATTACTGCTTATTTCCTTCTTTGGAATCCAAAGTTTACAACAGAAACAGAAACCAGCCGCTCAGTCAGCTTACTAAGTAGACAAATATCCAAACCTTCATTCTTCCGCAGAGGCTTTACTTTACTGAGTGACAATGGTTTCAACTCAACATTGTTTTTGTGGTTCTTAGTGTTACAGCTTTACTCCACACCTGGAATTAAACACAGTGGAGGCAGATGTAAACAGAAATGTGTCAAAGTCGCCTAAGTCTCTTTACAACATTTACACGATTTATGTACACRACTTCTGAGAAGAGCATGAAATGGCATACGTGAAATATACAAAAATATTTCCTGTACCATGCTTACATGTTTAGTGTTTCTTAAAGAGCAAAGACTGCCCCCAAATACATACTCACTTCAYAGAAGTGACAGCAGGTGACATTTCACTTCATGCCAGAGGTTAAATTGTTCAGCCGACGTTTTTGGCGCCCGTTTGTCCACCTATTTAGWTATCCAAGTATAAGATATGTCAGCCAAAGCTATTCTGTAAACCACTCCCACCTGAAGTGCACAGCAATGTTCAAACTCCCAAAAAAAAAAGCAGGTAAGAAACTGTGATGCGAGGGTATGAGGGTAGTTTACTATTACCAATAAATGTGTCTAAATAAAATAATAAACATGTACATATAAATTATTCCACGTAGCAGATGTTTCCTCAACCTGCAAACCCCCAATAAGATAAAGACTGCAGCTCACCGCAGCCATAATTCTTCATCTTTTGTAAAATCGTTACAGTGAAAAGTCTCATCTCCTAATAGTGCTCCTAAATGATGCATATTTCTGCTTCAATTCCAGCCAGGGCACATTTGGAAAAAACAAAAGACAAAACAGTGATGACAACAAGGGAGAAAATCAAAATTCCTCCTAACTTTCATGTGTTGAATTATTGTCATTTAATAAAATATAAGCAAAAGCAGTCTATTAAAGTGGTAAATGTTTTCACTAAAGTTTTATACAGCAATGGATTTCAGTGCCCAGTAGTACCTGTGCGCTCTGGTAAAGTAATCTCCAGAGTGTGGTTTTCAAGTATTACTGCTGCTTTTATTGAAAACTGCACCTGTCCTCTTAATCTACAAGCTTCTTCCATCTAAAGCAGCATTTATTTGCATGATGATTACCCAAGCTCAGTTCTTTGGCCCTGCATGCTTGAAGGGTGACCACCAAACGGAGCGGATCTGACGCCGCTCCTAAACGCTGATAATGCTTATTGCACCGTATGTAGTGGTGGCACTGTGGAGTGCAGTGGRCTTGCATTTCTCTCTGCGACGAAGGATAATTTCAAACTTTTTTTTGCTTGAAATCCATCTAGAGAGAGTTTCTACAGCTCAAATTGAACCGGGCCCCTCTTTAGCACAATTGCATTTTGGCTCCAGATAAACTCGGGGTCAGCTGAGGAGGAGCCAGTCTCATTTGAGGCGTTGCGTGACGTTTGCCAAAGCCACAGCGAAAGCCTGGACAGCAGAGAAAGGGTACTGGAAGTCCAGGATGTAAGCGTTGCCATCAATCCTGCCAAACTGCATTACCTATGAAGCAAGACACAATAAGAAGGTACTGTCATTAAAAACCCAAATTACTAACTTGATAACCTGGTTTGAGCAGACGTCTTACCTGCCTGCCCTCCAGTTCAATTTGAAAGTTTTTGGCTGATTCCTGCGTGACACGCCCACCAAAGTCCAGCTGGTAAACTTGTGTGGCTTCATTCCACAGTGGCTGCTTGTTGGCCATGACATAAACAAACCCCTGGCTGCCCAGTCCTCGGTCTTCTTTCTCGTTGGCTTTCCGACACTTGATTTCATCCAGCTCACTGGCAGCCCTCATGTTCCTTTTGCTCTTCCATCCCTTCTTACCRCTCTGACACTGATTGAGGAGCTCGTCCCCGCTGATGAAAAGCTCCGGTTCGCTTTCCGAACTGTCCTGAAACTCGCTGTTTGCCGTGGCCTTGCCCAGCTTCTTGGCCTTCATCTGCTGCTCTTTCTGTCCCTTCAGCTTCTTCTTGTCTCTTCCTCCCAGTCGTGGACTGGAGATAAGCGAGTTGAAATCACCCAGAGCTCTGCCCTCCTTTTTGGATTTGCTGCCTTCGGCCAGCTGAGACACATTCGTCTCCTCGGCCCGACCGTCTGCCCGCTTGCGGTTCTTTTTGCTAAACTTCTCAGAGCGCTGAGGCACGGGGCTCTCAGTCAAGGAAAGCACCTCTTGGAAACTTTCCCCAGGCTCTGCCATGGCCTCTTGTAAAGCACCGTGACTTTGTGGTTCTGCTGGTGGAGGTGGCAGTGGAGGAGGAGGAGGWGGYGGCGGCGGCGGCGGAGGAGGGGGCGGCGAGAGAACATTTTTATCTGCCGCCATGTGGGACACTTTGGGTGGTAGTGGCACTGCAGGACTGGGCATAGGTGGACAGGAGTTATACGTCCCCCACGGTGTGTGGAGGGCAATGGGAGGAACAAGAAGTGCAGCACAAGAGCTTCCTCCTGGGTATAAAGGTGGGAGGGGACAGCAGGCTAAGTTAGCAACATTTGCAGAATAACCTGGCGATAAGACAAGGGTTGCCTCCTGCTGGGAGAGGGGCACAGGCGCCATCAGCTCCTTCGGAGAGGTGCAGGGGCGTGGAGACCCAGGGATGGCTTGCAGCTGGGCTCCGGCGTAGGCAGCTGCAGGTGGGTACTGGAGAGAGACCTGGTAGCCTGTAGCTGCAGCTTGGAACGACGCAGCGCTGGGGCTGGTGGGGGACTTTGGAGAAAGGACTAAAGGCATTCTGGTTACATCCAAGTGCTGAGCCGAGCTAAGAATAAGAGGGGGTGGTTTGTGAGGTGCGGGCGGGGCGTTGGAGCTCAACGACGCTGTCCTTTCCTGAGGAACCCAAACCTCCTCTGTGGCAGCTGGGTCCCACTGATAGGGAGGTGGGCGTTTGACAACGAGCCCCAGCGCCTCGTTTCCTCCCAACGCCAGGTGCCTCAGCGACTGGTTCAGYGTTTCATCCTCAGTAAACGCCGAGTTCACATAATCAGCCCTGTCTCTGTTGCTTCCACCTCCCGCTGCGCTCCCAGATCCCTCGAGTGAGCTCATCAGATTATAGGAGGACTGAGAGGTGAGAGGAGCTGCACTGTTGGAGTGAACTATAACTGTGCTGTGTGGCGCTCCGTTTCCCGGAGGGAAATCCTGTCTGATAATCGTTCCCCCGGCTATTCCATTTGCACTCCCTGGCACAGTGCCTCCGACACTGGACCCACTGCTACACTGGCTGCAGGTGTATAAGGCTGTTGGCACCCTCTGCTGGAAAGAGGATGCTAGTGCATTGTTTTTAGCCTTGGGAGGCAGTGGTCTAGGCGGTTCCAGCATCTGGGAAACTTTGAGCGCTGCCTCTCGGCTGTTTCTCCTGAGGGTTGCGTGAATTAGACCGCTGTCGAGCCTCTGAGCAGAACTCCTCCCAGCCACGCTGTTCTGATTGGCTGGATCAGGGTAAGGAGGCGGGTCTCCACTGGGTATAGAATAACGAGGTGCAGTGAGTCTGTTGAGAGTGGCAGAGGTGTAGGGCAGCTGGACTTTTTTGTCGGCTGCAGAGGATGAAGAGGTGACCCTGAGAGTGGCAGAGGTGCCAGGTCCTTGGAGGGTGTAGACATTCTGATTGCAGACGAGGCGCGTTCGAGGACGACACACTTCTTCCACGTTCCCACTGCTGTCGAAGGTGGTTATCCTCTCGTAGCCCAGTGGAGTGGGATACTGCGCTTGCTGCTGACCTGAATAAAGCGGAAAATCCCCCTTTTTCAGGCAAAGATCACCGGGGGGAGGGGTTCTACTTGTGCCCGCTCCTGATAAGGAGCTGGAAACCGCAGAGGCGGCTGAAGGTGAGGCAGCTGCAGACGCTGCAGCAGCAACAGCTGCAGCCACTGTGCCGGGGTAAGGGGGTGGTGGGTTCATCCTGCTGAGCTCTAAAGGAGCGCTGAACACAACTGTGTCGCCGTCGGCCAGCTGTGGAGTCGAGCGAGTTGTTTTGATTTTCAGCAGGTGCTCCTGTTCACCTCCCACAGTTCTGTCAACGGCTAAATCAGCAGGTGGGTGAGGAATCTGGATCTGCAGCTGGTGCAGAGCAGCACCTGAAGTCTGGACCGATGACACGGAGGAGACGGGGATCTGGATCTGAAGCTGCTGATGAAGCTGATGATGCATCTGTTGCTGCAGCTGAATTTGTTGCTGCTGTAATTGTTGTTGTTGTAGTTGCTGTTGTTGCTGTTGAAACTGTTGCTGCTGTAGTTGTTGTTGCTGCTGAAGCTGTTGCTGCTGTAGTTGCTGTTGAAGTTGTTGTTGATGCTGATGTTGAAGCTGTTGTTGAAGTTGTTGTTGCTGCAGCTGTTGTTGCTGTATTTGTTGTTGCTGTAGTTGTTGTTGATGCTGTTGTTGCTGTATTTGTTGTTGCTGTATTTGTTGTTGCTGTATTTGTTGCTGCTGTATTTGCTGCTGCTGTATTTGTTGTTGCTGCAGGTGTTGTTGCTGTAGTTGTTGTTGCTGTATTTGTTGCTGCTGCAGGTGTTGTTGCTGTAGTTGTTGTTGCTGTATTTGTTGCTGCTGCTGCATCTGTATGTGCTGTTGGAGCTGCTGCTGTTGCTGAAGCTGAATTTGTTGATGGTGCAGTTGCTGCTGTTGACTTGGTTGCTGTTGTTGTGATGGATGATGCGATGCTGGAGGTCCAACCATTTGACGCCCCACCTCCAGTCCTCCAAAAATAACCTGACCAGGACTGGAGTACCTGCTGGGTACGGTGTACTGGGCTGTCAACATTGAATCTTGGCTTTGGTCCGGCCCACTGGAAGCTGCTCCAGCAGGAGGTGCACTGGGATTACTTAGGACATCCAGTTGAACGTTCTGATTGGCTAAGAGCGACTGGACCAGACCGATGCTTTGGGCTGGAGACATGGCCTGTGCAGGACTGTGGATCGGGGCGATGGGGATGTTTACGGTACAGGGAGGGTTGTCGTCAGTGCTTCCAGCAGGACCWGTGACAGGCAGGTCATCTTCATCCTCACTGAAGACGTTGGGGCTGAACACAGGCAGGTTGACGTAGTCCAGAGAGATCTTGCGCACTTCTGGCAGATAGATGGTCATCTGTCTGGGCTGCAGATGAAGGAGGCTTGTCTTATAGATGACTGAACAGAAAGCAAACAAAGGTAAAAATGAGAAAACATAAACAAACACTTCCACGTGTTTAGATAAAGGTGTTGACTGATTACCTGCTCCAAGATTGGTTGGTAAAAATGTGGCCAGACCCACTATCTTGAACTTTGTTCCCCAAATATTGGATGTGACCTGAGCAAGGTAATTTTGCTGCAAGACACAAAGAATGCTGTTAGTAAATGTAACAGTAAGTGCAGTTGTATAAATTAGAAAAAAATAATTTGAGAAACATTAAGGATGTATAGACAAGAGCCTGCCTGGCCCACACAGGCATTATGGCCTATTAGAGAAGGCTGTGGTCCTGCCTTGGCTTTTCTTGACAAAAATAATCTGCAGTTCACCTGATTAATGTCATCCAGAGGAAATTCCCTTCGTGACAGACTGGGTGAACCGATGGAGGGTTTCCGTATGGGTAAGCGAGGAGACCTAGAGATCTCTTGTGTAGCTCGGGACAGTTTGGGTGATTTTCTGGGATCAATATTAATCCTGTTGGTAAAGGGACAAACTAAGTCTCTACAGAGAAGGTAGCAAATGAAAAAGAAGGTTTAGGCATGCTGTAAAAACAAAACACGCACACACACACACACACACACACACAAATAAAAAATACATTTTATTTGAAGTTTTAAGTTGACTTAGAAAAGGTGGTTAATTTGAATAGCAGGAAGGCTATTATAAGTTACGTAATTCCACAGAACAACCATTTATAAAGTATCCCTTTAAAGCATGATAGGATTTTTAATTTAAAAAGTAACATTTCTTCAAGAGATATTCTTTCTATAACTTTGCATTCCTATAAAACTACTTTGTTTAGCTTTAATAAAATAAATGAAAAAATTGACCATGACAAATTTTCAGCACTATTTTATACAATTCTTTGCAACTCCCTCTTCTTTCTGTTATAGTTTCATAATTTTATTTAACTTACAGCATTTTGATGAGCATGTCTTGATATTAACATAATTAAAATTTAAAAACAAACCTATTTGGGTTTTTGTTTTAGGTCAAAGGGAAAAACGAGCCTTAAAAGCTATTCAGGGTTTGCCCCAGTGTACTATTACCCTGGCGGTCCGCCAGGCTTTACTAGCCTCCCCACCAGACCAAGCGTTGTTTGTTTATTTAAAACCAGAACTGCCTGAACATTTGGAATGCTGCGCCCACCACTGTTTCACTGTCTCCCACAGCACGCACACACACCTACCCATTTGTAAAATGTGAGACACAGGCAGACGAGAGAGAGCGAGAAACCGTCAATAAAAACGCTACCGTTACTGCATCGCTTCACTTCTATCACATCATAACATGAATGGCTGCAGTAATGTCAAAAACATGACATAAAAACAAAACCAGAAATGTTTGGCACAGTTTGTTGCAGGTCGTTTGCTTAGTTAGTTACCTTGGGAGTTTGGGAGATTTACTTCCTCTCGATATCTTTGGAGATTTTTTGCCGACCCAGTCATCACTCAGCTCAATGTCACTAGAGTCTGAGCAATTACAGCTGTCAATCATCGCCGATATCAGACTGTTGCCATATATCTCATCTGGAGGAAAAAAACAAATATCATTTAGAAGGAATTAAACTTAGATTACTTAAACATACATATATCCATTTTAGAGCTCTCCTAAATTATTGACATGAAATAAAACAAGTCCCACCTGTTTTACCATCTGTTTTTGGATCCATAATGACAAACTCTGGACGCAGTTTACTTATCCTTCGGCCCTTCAGGATTGGCACCAGACCTCCTAGGTACTCCAGATACAGAGTATAACATGGTCCTCCCACTTCTGGGTTATCCTCCGTACGCTTCATAGTGCAGTGCAGTCGCTCGTTCCCAGATGTCGGGTAGCTCACAAAGTCACGCATGTTGTTGGGATCTGGAATTGGGGGCTAGAAATTAAAGAAAAATTTAATTACAAATACAGCCACCATTAACATTAGGGCTGCAACAACGAATCAATAAAAATCGATTATTAAAAGCGTTGGCAACAAATTTCATTATTGATTCGTTGTGTTGCGTGATTTATGCGTCCCTCGCCGTGTCGCGGAGCTGTTTACATCACCCGCAGAGCGTTGTCAATGCTGGCTGACCTAAATAAAGTTTGGTTTTTTTTTTTTTTTTACTGTATCTACTCAAACGATGTCTGTCTGTTTTTATTCATTGACTTATTTTTTTCTCACCTAAATTTCTTTTCAGGTCTACTAAATATTGTAAATACCTATAGAATTCGGTCTTATCCAGATGTTTCTGAACTGTCAACATCTATTTATAGTGATTGTAGTTTTCTTTTCTTTTTTTTTTCTTTCCTTATTTCATTTTAATCAATGCAAATGCTTTGTCAATTACTATGTGACATGTGAAAGGAAAAAAATTGTATAGGTCCTCTGGACGGGTTCTTCTTTAATGAAA